AATACAAATCCCTTGTAAAATGTGAAATGGCTGGCATTGCTCTTTTACAGATGAGAAACTGGGACTCCAGAAGTCATGTGACTTTCTGATTCAGCATGCCTGGCTATCGGCTTGTGTTTTGTAAGATGGCTCCCAGGCCACACTGGGGAAATGGGGCCACAGCAGTAGGTAGTTAAAATTGTGTGACCTCCTCCATGACATTTCAGGGAAGAGGCTGTTTCTTTCCACTTTCCTCCTTCTCTTCTCGAACTTCTATAGACCTCAGCCTCTCAAAGAAATGGGTGTCACTGATGAGGGGTAACACCTGGTATCACTAGATACCACGAGCTGAGACGGTGACAATGTTTTGGAGAATTAAAATGTGTCTGAAAGTCCCTTGTAAAATGTGAAATGGCTGGCATTGCTCTTTACAGATGAGAAACTGGGGCTCCAGACATCATGAGACTGACTGATCAGGTGTCATAGTCTGGACTCTAATCTGCTCAGATGCATAAATTTGCCTTTGCACTGCCCAGCTGCTGTGGGAAGAGAGGCAGCCAATCTCTGATCTGGCTTTGTAGGTACAATGCAAAGATCAGCAAAAATCTTTCCCCAGCTTTCTCTCCTTGTTGAAATCCTGCTCTTCTTTCCAGATCTGGTCCAAATTCCAGATCCTAGATAGAGCCTTCCCAGAGTCACTGAGTTTGAATCCATCTCTCCTTCTAGGCTGCATGAGTCTCTGTGTCTCTGACATGCACATGGTCCTAATGTAAGGTGCACTGACACTTTAACATTTTTATATCCCTTGCTTGGATCTTGGTCTTTCCCACTGTGTGCTGAAAAATGAAAGGGGCTCCTTCCATGTTTAATGAAATACATTTAGCTGTACGCTCAGGACCAGGACATATCTCTTAGCATCCCTCTAAACCATGGCCCCTGTGCCCAGGGGTGTGAATGAAGGAATTGTTTGGTCTACGGAGAATGGAAGATAACTGAAAACCTGCTAGGCTCAATAGAAGTGGGAGTGAGGTTGGGAGTTCCATTTGAGATTCTTTTTTTTTAAAAAAAATATTTATTTATTTATTTATTAGTTATTGGCGGACACAACATCTTTGTTGGTATGTGGTGCTGAGGATCGAACCCGGGCCGCACGCATGCCAGGCGAGCGCGCTACCTCTTGAGCCACATCCCCAGCCCCCTTGAGATTCTTGTACATCCTCCAAGATGTCAGTCAGGTGGGTATGCTGCTTCTTGATGCTTCTAACTGGCCAGGATGAGGGCTGGTGGAGCACTATCCTTAGCTCCAGGGGATGGATTTTGCGGTATGTCACCAAACACTAGAGCTCCCAAGGAAATCTTCTAGGTCCTTGACAGAATTTGGGAACAATAAAGGCTGATCGGGGAAGGGGCTCCTAGAAAGATGTCACCGTGTAGGATGGGGTGGCAGGGCTTGCTTCCCACCAGTTTACTGGAGCCTCCTCCATCTCATCTCAATTATGGAATTTTTCCGCTCTAAGCCACTCTGCCAAGCTTATGATAAGACTGGTGTGTGTGTGTGTGTGTGTGTGTGTGTGTGTGTTGTGTATGTGTTTTCCTTTCCATGTTGGAAAAACTCAGATATTCCAGCAGATTCGTCAGCAGCTTTTGTCCCTCAGCCAGCAGGGAGGCTGCAAGCCACAGCCACTTACATTCCAGCGCTAAGCCAGCTCTGAGCCCATTACAGTGGCAGGAAGCCATGAACTCGGGCTATGACAGACCATCAAGAGCAGAGTGGCCTGGATGACCTCATGGGATATCCCTGCCCCACCCCAGCCCCCACCACCTGGCACTGATCCCTTCCTCTGTCTTATGGCTCTCATTTCTGCTTCTTTTTCTGTCTCCCTTTCCCTCTCCTTCCCCACTACACCATCTCTCCCCACCTCTCTTCATCTCTCCCTCCCTTCTTTCTCTTTCCATGGTGATTCCCATCTCTCCTCTCCCCTCCTCCCTACCTCCTTCTGATGAAGGTGCAGAGAAAGGATCCATGCTGCCCCAGGTGGCAGTCCTTCTGAGCTTCCAGGGAAAATAAAGTTGCTTTGGGTCATCCTGGCCGGTCCCTCAACATGTCCCCCTGGAGGTGCCCGACTAAGGATCCTTAACAACATGGAATTTGGTCTTTAGAAAATCATCGAAGCTGTTCTGAAGTGAACCCAAAATGGCTAGTTGTAGCAATTCTTTAAGGGGTTCCACTGCCCAAGTGAGGGAGCCCCCTGTGAAATGAGTGCTGGATTCAGAGGTGGGCAGCCAGGCCATTGTGGAAATCCAACCTGTCCTTATACTGGCTTCTCTGGACGCAGCTGTTACAAAGGGGCTTGGGTAGGGGCACCTAGTCCAGGGCCATTCAGTGTCCTCTGCAGTACCTTTGCAAACTCTGCCTCGCCATCCTCAAATTTTAGATTGTTATTTTGTTTTCAATTTTTTTTTTTCGGTACTGGGGATGGAACCCAGGGCTTCATGCATGCTTAGAAAGCATCCTACCACTCAACCACATCCCAGTCCTTTTTATTTTATTTTTTTTTTTGAGACACCGTGTGACTTAGTTGCTGACACTGGCCTCAAACATGTGATTTTCCTGTCTTAGCTTCCCAAGAAGCTGGGGGTAAGGCTCTTGCCATTGCCTGGCTTTTAGCTTGGGTAAGAATCAGCAGGAATGTCATCAACAATGCAGATTCTTGGGCCACACCCTTGCCAATTGGATTCTGGAATCCAATCCAACTGGGTCCTGGAATCTGCATCTTGGACCAGAATAAGAGGAAACTGTGGATTCTAAGAGGGAAGGGGRGAGAGAGAGAGAAAGAGAGAGAGCGCCCTACAGCTCTCTCTTCCACCTGGAAAGAGGCACCAGGCCCTTTGGTAACAACTACACCCCTGGGGTAAAACCCACATTCCTTAATGTGTCCTGAAACTTTGGGGACTGGCTCCTCCCTTTCTGTGACACTAACTTCCTACATTAACCTACTCCCCAAGGACATAGGAGCTCCACATGGATGCTTATGCTATTCCCACTGCTATGAGGATTACCTTCTCACCTGCTAAGATTCCACTCTGGGCCATCTGCTCCCAAAGTCACCTCTGGCGCCTCCCAGTCTGACCTAGACACCCTGCCCTGCAATGATGGTGACTTCTTACCCTGAGCTGTGCATTCCTATGCATTCCTACACGGTGCTGTTGAAATCCTGTTGTCGTGCCTGCCTTCCCAAGGTGAGCTCCTCAGGGCCAGGCCAGTGTCAGTAGCATGGGGCCTGCTACACTGTAGTGCTCAGTTCCCATCAGGGAACTGAACAGGCTCTTGGGACTCATATGTCAGGAATCACTCCTGTCAGGAGCAGGGAAGGAAGTTTATGGGGTCTTCAGATGTCTGAGATTCTTACAGAGATTTCTGGTCATAGGCCTAGGTCCACTTTGCCCTTCCTTTCTGGGAGGGCACCAGAGCTCTCAGAGCTTCCCCTGGGTGGAGGCATCTGTCTGAGCAGCTCTGCCCAGACTCGGCTGTGAATGTCCTCCACAGCTCACGGGCGTTGCTCATGAGATCAGAGCCTCAGTCGTATCATCTCCAAACATCTGCATTTTGGCTTTCAGGGAACCCCTGGCTCTTTCACTGAGCCACACCAAACACATGGGCTCCAGAGCAGCCACAGCTGCCAGGGAAAATCCACTATGGGACTTTCCTGTGGGGCCATTGATGAGCCAGAACGATTGGCCTGAACTTGACACCAGCAGAGCAGACGAGGACAACAGTCTCCAGGACTTGGCCTCCCTCACTCTAKCCCTGTGGGGTCACTAGGCAAAACAGTTTCCAATTGAGATGGAGTAGCCTCTGAGGACATGAAGCCTCCCATGAAGATGGACAGGACACATCTCTGGGGTTATGTGGGGTCAAGCCCAATGTCATCTTCATGCTTTGAAGCTCATGGTGGGGCTCCTTGCTCATCTTCCTGTCCTCCTGGGGCTGCCACCCACCCGCTTCTTCCACCGCCCAGGCTAGGTGGGTAGTGCAGCTCTGGTTAAGGAAGCTTGGAGGTGCGGGCAGGGAACAGACTAAATTGTGCAGGCAGTTTGCATTAATTAGAATAATTTACCCAGACACCACTCTGGCTTCTAAGAAAAATAATGTAAACATTCAARACATACTTAGGACACAGCCTAGGGTTTTTTTGCCAGGAGCAGGGAAGGAAGTTTATGGGTCTTCAGACGTCTGAGATTCTTACAGGAATTTCTGGTCATAGRCCTAGGTCCACTTTGCCCTTCCTTTCTTGGGGGGGGGGCACCAGAGCTCTCCACATCTTTTGTTTTGTTTTGTTTTTTGGTGGGAGAAGGGTACCAGAGATTTAACTCAGGGGCACTTAACCACTGAGCCACATCCCCAGCCTTTTTTGTATTTTATTTAAAGATAGGGTTTTGCTAAGTTTCTTAAGGCCTTGCCAAATTGCTAAGGCTGACTTTGAACTCACAATCCTCCTGCCTCAGCCTCCTGAACCACTGGAATTACAGGCATGGGACACCATGCATTCAGCTTAGGTGTTTTTGAACAGTAGTGGGGATGGTGAAAAGCAGCAAGTATTTAGAAGTTGGATGTGGAGTTTAAGAAAAGGTAGACATTTTTTTTCTCCCCAAGTTTCAGGACCTTATGCAAGTCCTCAAAGGACAAGGGTAAGGAAAATGGAAGGAATGGCAAATAATACCTCTCCTCCCCCAGTAACAGGACATCTTCCTTGGGCTGTTCCCTGAAATTAGGGCCCACTTAGGGGAAAGGCAGGAATCAGGAGAAGACCAGCGGCCTCCAACGCTTCTCACAGATCCCCACCCAGCCCTGCTTGGTTGCCAAGTACACCCAGCTGAGGATCTTCCCTGCCCCTCAGATAGCCCAGTAACAGTCACAAAATACAGAAAAGGCAGCCATGTTTATTCTATTTCTTGAAGGTGCAGGCCTGCTCTCTGCTCAGGGCCCTGGGCTTACAGGCCCTCGCTCATTGGCAGGACTCCCGTCAGCACTGCCTAGCGGCAGCCCAGGACCAAGTGGTGCATTAGAGCCAGAAGGCAAGCAAAGAGTCCCTGAAGCACAGGCACTTGGTCCACCACCCATTTTCTCAACCTGAGGCTCATCCAGACCAAGAACAGAGGGACAACTGGCCTCTGTGTTATCTGTGGCCAAACATGGTGACTCTAGGGGACCCAGGAGGTGGGGGGTATTCAGTGTGAAACACCTTAAGAGGAAGAGGAAGGAAGATGGAGGTGAGGTTGTTTGACCTGTACCCTGGGGAAGTCCCAGGAGGCCTCCTCTGCTGATGCCTGGGGAGTGCAGAAGGGGTGGGAGGGCCTGTGGGAGTCTCTTTTCCCCACAGCCTCGCCAGGTTCAGGCCTCCAGGCCTGGGTGACAGAGCAGCAGTCCCAGAGCCTGGAGAAAGCACAAAGGATGGTCCAGGCAGTGGCTGCTGCACTTTCCTGTGAATCGTGACAGAGAGTCGGCTGTGCAGCTTCCCAGGGGAACAGGCATTGGAAGGTAATGCTGATGACATCTCCCGACCAGTGGCCAGGAGGGAGGTAGGCTGATGAGATGGGACCAGATCTCACCCTGGGTTGGGTCCCGCAGTGCAGAAGAGCAGTGTGTGAATGATTCTAATGCTCCGGATGCCTCACACGCCCCCCACAGCTCAGACGTCAGGAGCTGATGGGAGTCTACCTAATCTGTAATGAAAGGCACAGGTTAGCAGGGTTAGTTTCACCTACCTATTGGAGAAACCTGCAAATCACACCCCAGAGCCCAGAACCATCAATATTTGAGAGTTCTCAGCCACCCAAGTGCCAGCTGTCCTCTTGTAGTGCCCTTGCTCCCTGACAAGAACTGCTCTGGTTCTCATCTGACTGCTTGTTACGACCACCCGGGAAGCCTAGGATACCCTCCAACCCCAGGCATCTGCACTCTTAGAAACTTCCATGGTGATTGCAATGTGCATCCAGAGTTTAGGAGGTGGGAAAGGAGTTCAAATTGGTTCATTTGTATCTTTGGCTATGGCTCTGAATAAGGAAGTGAAAAACCACTAAAATAAAGTTTTGAGCTATTTGTAAATAGACCACATATCACAGCAAGAAAAATTTATGTCGGTACTAAAAGTAGAACTTCCTGACTGAGAGGGCTATTTTGGAAAGTTTCTCCAAAGCTGCTGAATCTCCTTTTTTTTTTTTTTTTTTTTTTTTCGGGCACTTAAGAGGATGAACTTTCCTGCCCGAGTGGAGAGGAAGGACATGCCTCCCCTACCCAAGGGGCCTCTTAAATGCTGGGGACAAACCACAAGCTCTGCTCCTGGTTGCCCTACGTCTGGCCCAGAGTCTAAGGTTCCAGACTGGAGTGACCTCCGGGAAACAATGAATGTTTATTGAGTCCTTCCCTCCACAGCCCCATTAGCCCTCGGGGACCTCACATATCACATCTTAAACTCTGTGATCATGCTGTAAGGTAGGAATTGTTATTTTTATTTCATAGGAGAGAGAACTGAAGCTCTGAGCTAAGCACATCTCCCAGGATGACCCTGATGAGCAGGCAGTAAGGAGCATAGTCAGAATTCAGATCCCACTGAAATCCCTGCCTCTTTCTGCCATGCCACTTGTCCCTGAATGGGGGAAAGACAGACTTAAGGCTGATGGGGAAACTGTGGAAGTGTGTGCATATTATTCAGGTAGTCTCCAGTCTTCAGGGCAAGCGGAAACGTCCTTTATTCTGAGATCGTATCTTTGATGTTGATGTGTTTTGTAAGTGGGACAGCTACAGGGCAGGCCTTTTGTCCTGTCAAATGTGCAAGCTTAGTCAGATGAGTAGTTGGCAATCCTGGCTTTCTTTCTTTTTTTTCTTTTTTTGGAACTTTTACTGGTGCACAAAACCAAAAAGTGTGCGTGCCACTGCATTCACTCCCACCCCATTAGAGGGTCTCCCTGACAGCTTGGCTAAGAGCTTGGACAGGAGAACAGCCCCCCCCCCCCCGAGGCTGGAGAGGCACAGGCTTTGGGCACTGAAGCTGGGCTACATGTGGCACAGTTTCCTGGGGCAGGACATATGGATGGAGGTAGTGCCCACTCTGAGGACAGCTGGGGAGACTCCAGGAGACAATGTGGGAAGCCTGAGCACAGTGTCCACRCTCAATGCAGATGAGGACCCAGGCACAAATCCAGCTGCCTCCAAGCCCCATCTTTCTGACAGCATTGAGGCTCACTTGTTAAAGTCTAAATGAAACCTCAGCCCCTCAGGATGATATCCCGCTTGTGAACATGGTCTAAACTCCAATGCAGCTGCTTAGAAAATCGATGCCATCAAACCGGGGGTGTGGTGGCACATGCCTATAATCCCAGCAACTCGGGAGGCTGAGGCAGGAGGATCGCGAGTTCACAGCCAGCCTCAGCAAAAGGGAGGTGCTAAGCAACTCAGCAAGACCCTGTCTCGAAAGAAAACACAAAATAGGGCTGGGGATGTGGCTCAGTGATTGAGTGCCCCTGAGTTCAATCCCCAGTACCTACCCCCCACAAGAAAAAAGAAAGAAAATCCATGCCATCAAGCCTGTGTGGAGAGGCCCAGGAACTCTGTACCCCTCAAGCCATGGCAGTTTGAGGACCCAGCCCTCCCTGGCATATAGCAGGAGCTTCTTTACCGTTCGATGATGCGATTGTTGTCCTGCAGGTCAAAGGCCAGCAACCTCATCTCCTCACAGAGCTCCTGCATGCTGTGGAGGCAGAGGCCAGAGAGGTGATGGGAGGCAGAGGCCAGAGAGGTGACGGGAGGCTGAAATTGCCCTGCCCAGACCCCCCCTCTCCTGCCAAGGGGCAGCCCTTTAGGCCAACCTGAGGGAAAACGACTGGGCCCTAACCTCAGCACTGTAGGGTCCCCTCTCGTCCCCCCTCCCACCACACACCCTTCTCTGTGGCACTTACTGGAGAACCAGGTCCTTTGGCGCAGGACTGGGGTGAGGAGCTATGGGGGGTGGTGAGGTCTGTACCTCTTTTGTTCTGTCTTGAAGGAGCTGGTAGGATAGCTGGTCTAGGATCTGAAGGAAGTCACACTTTAGTCAGAAAGATTTGAGCTGGCTTATTTGTGGCTGGGGAGGGGACAGGCTGAGAAAGGGAAAGAGGAAGGTAACTAGCTACCCTCAGCCTGCATCTCTGGAGTCCCTGGAATTGTCCAGGCTTTCCCAYGAGCCCCTTGTTCCCATCCTGGGAATGCAATGACACAACTACTTTCACTCATCTGTGCTTAGATTGAATGATGCAGAACGTCAAGTTTCCTTTTGTGTCTAGCTTGACCGTCTCATGGTGTAATATGAGCCACGGGCTGCAGAGAAGAGGTAGGGGTAACCCCTGGCCACTCTCTGAAAGCAGGGAGCTGCTTGCACAGGTATGTGCTGGGGAGGTGAGAGGGAGCAACAAGTGGCTGGCTCTGGGAAGCAGCAGCCCCTCTCCATTCCTTGTGGCTGGGTAGGTGGCTTCTCAGAGCCACCTGAGTGTTGGTGTCTTTGCAAACAGCTGGTCAGAAGACCAAGGAGAGTTCCCATGGCCTTGCTCAGAGAGGCCTTGGAGCCTTCCAGGCTGCACAAGACCCCGAGGAAGGTGTCTCAACATCCCAGAGTCCCTGCCCTCCCAGTGACCTTTAGTCTGAGATTACCAAGACATGCTTTCCAATCTTTGCTCTGTGCTCAGGGCATGTTTGTGAGTCAGAGTCTTAATCTGCATCAAAGTGACCCCAATGTTCCCCGCCCCAGGGTATCTGAAAACCACCAGCAGCAGCTCTAGGGACCTTTGAAGACCTCACACCTTGCTTAGGTTCTCCTGGACTCCTTGCGCTTCTGTGTTGCAGGAGGTCACAGAACAGCTGACCCGGCGCAGGTGGGTCCTGGTCTCATATACCTCCCTTGAGAAAGCAGGCGACCAATTAGACTTGGAGCAGGTCTCTGCTCACTCCCCCTGGGGCCCACCCAGCCATCACAGGGCCACCGCAGACTCCGATGGGTCCCAGGCACTTGCTGCCTTCCCTGCCTCAGCCCTTCTAAGGGTGGCTCATCCCTCACCTGCCTAACCCTATGGTGGTTCTGATGGACCCTGCTGACTGAGGCTGGGGAGGGTCCCAACAGAACCACCGTAGGGAGCATGGACACCATGTGCTCCACTGGTCACATGCACACAAGAGGGGCGAGGCTCCAGAGACCCAGATGGCAGCCTACGCTGGGGCTTTATGGGGCATAATGGTCACATCCCATTTCCAAAGCAAATCACCGTCAAGACTTTTATGAATTCTCTAAGGTGAGATATGAACTGGGACTTTTCCCTGTTACACAGAGAGGAAATTGAGGCCCAGAGCCATTAGATCATTGGTTGGTTCGCAACCCTGACTACACATTAGGATCATCCTGAGGAGCTATCACCTAAACTCAGATCCATCAACTCAGAATTTGGAGGGACTGGAGGTTGGRGGTAGAATATCAGGGCACTGTTATTCTAATATGGGGATGCTGGGTCTCAGCCAGGGAGGGATCACACAGCACGTTGGAGCCTGACTTCTCGTCTAGGGAGGGACTTGTGTTCATGTAGACAGGGGAAGGAGGGGGTCCTGCTTGAAAGGGGATCCCAAACTCCTATAGAGAATAGTATAAGAAGGCTCTATTAGAGGAMAGACACCATCTGCCCCTGCTTCTCTGCCCAATCAGAAGCCCATAAACTGACTGTCCTTGTCCCAGTGGGACCTGATATTCTCCCCAGAGAGGAGGTTCCTACCACAACCAATTGGCATGGGGAAAGGAATCCAGATTTTAGAGGTGTATTTACCTGTGTACTAATCCTGGGTCTGACTTACAAGCTGTGTGATATTTAAAAGAGACCAGTTCTTTGAGCCTTAACGGGGGGATAACATCTACTGTATAGATATTTTGGGTCTAAACAAGCATATTTGTAGAAATCATCCCAGCAGACTGCCTGGTCTGCCTAGGTACATAAACCCACCAATTTTCTCACATTTCTTTCTTCACTTACTCCTCTCCCTCAGCCAGGGCTTGTAGAGCTCAGGGTCCTCAGAAGCCTGAGGGGGCCAGGCCCATCCTGGGGTCCAAGAGCTAAGGAAGAAGGGCCAGACTCTCACCTCATCCTCTTGCCATGTGTGACCAGGGCTGCTTGGTACTTTGGCACACACTCCTCCTGGAACAGCTGCAGGAGTCTTTTGGCTAAATGACTGAAATTCACCCTGAAAAGACAGAGAAACCAAGGCCTAGAGATGAGCAGCCAGACCCACTGTCCAGATCCACAATTTTAGCTGAGTGCGATGACACCCGCCTGTAATCCCAGCAACTCAGGAGGCTGAGGCAGGAGGATCACGAGTTCAAAGCCAGGCTCAGCAAGTCAATGAGGCTTTCAGCAACTTAGTGAGACCCTGAGACCTTGTCTTGAAATACAAAATAAAATAGGGCTGGGGATGTGGCTCAGTGGTAAAGCACCTGTGGGTTCAATCCCTGGTTTAAAGAAAAAAAAAAAGATCTTTTGCATCATATAGGCCAGAGGTCAGCAAAGCACAGGTGTCAACAGGGATGGGAGATGGATGAGGGGCCCTCCTGAAACCCACACACTCTCAAGCAGGGGGAAGGACAGATGGTGGTTAAGGAAAGTGCATGACTACGTGCATGTGTGTGTGTGTGTGTGTGTGTGTGTGTGTGTGTGTTTGTGTAGGGGGACAGGGATGGATGCACACCTGGGGAGAGAGTCTCCAAATAACTACTGGACCATGGGGGAGGCATCATGAAAGATGAAAGTATCTGGAAAACAGAAGCTGAGGGAAGCACAAAGCAGCAGAGGTCAGAGGCAGGAAGTGGGAAGTAGCAAATCAGGGAGGACAATTAGGGAAAAAAAACCCAGCCCCAATATTATTCATGCCAGAAGTAAATGCAGATACATCAAGATTGCTGCCGAAGCCTCCCTCTGACTCAGCTAGGCAGTGTCCTCCCCTGACCAYAGATAACCTGCCCCAGATAGAGTTATCCCCCTCTTCTCAGCTCAGCCTAGGAGCAGGGCCCTTCCTGTCTGGCACAGACAATGGYTCTGCCCTGCTGAATCCACTCTCCTGGTCCCCGCCTGCCAGTGGACAGGCCACTCACTTATCCAGCTTGTGAATCTGCTCCTCATTGTAGCCGAGCCCTGAAGGAAACAGACAGAAATGATGTCACCTACTTAATCATCAACAAAACAGAGTGCYACAGGGACTTTGGGGACAGTTATGAAGATGAAGACAGCCCAGCTTGGGCCTTGTTTCATGAGAGCTCACAGCCTGTTGGAGCCAGGAAAGACAGAGGGAGAGGAACACCCATGTAACTTATTACAACTTAGGACATTATTACTCTGACCAAGTCCCTGGTTATGATTTAGGGGCCTAAAGAAGCTGCAGAAAAATTGCCACGAGGCTCCAGAGGAAGGTGAACCTGTAGTGCAGGGCTGGGGGCTTGGGAATTGGGGAGTGGTGGGTGAGACGGGCCTTGAAAGATGCTTGGTCAGTCATGGCTCTCATCCAGGAGAGGGACTGATGCCTGCAGCTGGTCGGCCCAAGCCCTGAAGACCATGCTCCCGACAGAGCCAGATGGACTCTGCAGCAACTAGTTGGAGAAGCTCGGCCACCACCTTCTAATTCTCTCTGCCCAGTGACTTTTGCAGATGGAGCACGATGGAGCACGCACGTTGGCCAGCGGGGCTGAAGTTTTCTGACTTTGGCCTTGGCCAACCCCTGAAGGGCCCTAATGTTCACATCAGGGAGATGCTGCCCCCTGCTGGGCTTCAAGGGAATGGGCCTATAGGTGATGGCAGCCCCAAGATAATAAGCAAGTTGGCCTTTCCTGCCTTCCCATTCCACTCCCCTAATATAGCAGGATCCCCTTCCTGAGCCCCACAGTCAGCATAGAGTACTTTTGGGGTCCAAGAGATCTGGAACAAGTCCCAGACTGGCCTGTTATTAGCAGGTGGCCAAAGGCAGATGATTTGGCTTCGGTGAGCCTGCTTCCCCAGCCATCTCAGGTACCACTTGGGGCTCCTGGGATCATGTCAGAGAGTGCCCCAAAGACACTGAGTGTCTCCCAGAATGGCATCTTCTAACACACCAGGCATTAGCAGTTAAAGGTTTGAATAAGGCTCTGGAAGACTAATAGAAATGAAAATCCTTTGAGGCTGTAAAGAGGGGCAGCTGAAAGTTSCTAGACCTATATTGCTTGGGTTACTTTATCTTTTTCTATTGGACTGTTTCCTCATCTGTAAAATGGGGAGGATAATGGCTTCCAGGGTTTTAAGAACATGCAGAGCCCCCAGGATGGTGCCTAGCACAGGAGGTGCTCGGGTGAAGTTTAGATGGTAGTGTTAATAGAGTCTGGCCATAGCGCAGAAGACCTCCGAGGTRTTCCTGAACCAACTGGATATAGAGCCAGTCTGGCTGAGCCCCAAAGCTTAGTTGGCTTACAGGGACAGAAGATTTCACTTTCTCCATGCCCTGTGGTCCCCTACACCCTCCAAGGCCAGATTCAGAGGCAGGACTGAGACCCCTAAAAAGAGAGGATTATCTTCTGAAGATCWCTGTGTCCATTATGGTAGCACCAAACACACAGCTACAGAGCACCTGATGTGCAGCTAGTGAAACTGAGGACCTGAATTTGAATTAATTCAATTAATTGAAAAGCTGAAGTGGTTTAACATATTAAATATTAAACACAGATCAGTTGTTAAGACTACATTTCACTTTGTTAAACACTTAGCTTCCAAATAGAGACGTGCTCTAAGTGTAAAATACACATGGGATTTTGAAGACTCTGAGAAAAGAAACATTAAATATCTCTTTAATAATTTTGTTTTCACTAATTGCATGCTACAGTGACATTGGGTTGAATAAAACATATTATAATTAATTCTGTTTCTATATTTTCAATCCTGGGGATCAAACACAGGGCCTTGCACATGCTAGATAAGTGCTCTATCTCTTAGCTCTATCCCCAGCCTTTTAAAAAAAAAATTAAATTTTGAGACAGGGTCTACCTAAGTTCCCAGCCTGYCCTTGAAATTTTGATCCTTCCTGCCTCGGCCTCCAGAGTAGCTGGGATTGCAGGTACACACAACAGCACCTTGCATGTTTTTTATTTCTACTTTTTAATTTGGCTGTGAGAAAATTTAAAATTACRTATGTGTTTCATTGTGTTTTTATTGAAGTGCTTTTAAGATAATCCCAGGGATAGAAGAGTATTAGGCAACAAAGCCTAAGGCCTGCAGTCTGTGGGTTAGGAAACACTTAGAACAGGAGGGAAACAGAGGGTCAGCTTGGATGTGTTTGCTCCCCAGCTAACTGGGGCCTCCCTAGGCTCCCCCTGCCCCCTTTACCACCCTCACCCTTCCCTATGATGGCAGTCACCTGGGCAAGCAGTTCCCATCCCATAGCCTGTGAATGGGCTGGCCCCGCCAGGTCTCTGTGAGCATTAGTAGATCACACAGGCATGTCACCTGGCCCTGTGACTCTCAATGGGATTTCTTCTGATCCCCCTTTTGAAAACCTGGCTTTCTCTGTACCCCCAAAGACACAGAGGAGAGGAAAACACTCAAACCATAAAGTGCCCTGTCAAAATAAGGAGTCCCTTTCCAGGACTACTTAGGCTCTGGCCCACTGTGCCCCCTACCCATGTCATCTAAAYCTCTCACAGAACAATGGGCAAAGAGTAAAGGCTTCAATCCTCACTGGCCTGCAGGCAGTGGCCAGGGGCCCTGCCTTAGGCCAGCTGCTCCCTGGCCCCACCTAGCACCATCCACTCAGGGGCCTCCACCCACACMGAATGGAGTATCCACCAATCTCAGGAAGGGAGGAAAGCAGAGGGAGGGAAGAGAGCATAGGGGACATTTGCTCTCCATGGCTCACCTGGCCTCATCCTCGATTTCTTAAACTGTTTGTAGATGAGGCTCATCTTGTCCACACAACACTGAATCTGCTGGATGCTGGGGCAGGAGACAACAGGAAGAATCAAACAGCACAGAGCAAAGGGGAAGGAGAGGATGGGATGGGGGTTGGGTAGGGGAGAAGCTGTCTCCCTGCAGGAGGAGCCTCATTGCCCCAGTTCTGGGGGCCAGTCTGGAAGCAGGGGTCACTGTTCTGTCTCTGAGATTATTTGAGAAATCTTAGAGCAAGCCAGCCATCTCCCATCCTCCTGTTCACCCCCACCCCACACTCCCTCACACACAAAAAATTAAGTAAGATGTGAGAGAAGAAGTCAAACTGGTCAGGCAACAGGGAAGTGGCCCTTGCTCCACAGGAAGTCTTGAGAGTAGGCCTTGAGAGGCCCCAGGAACCCAAGAGAGTCTGCCAAAGACAGCTGGGACGGAGTGGAATAGAAATCGCTCCTGGCCACCTGCACAGGGCAGAAGGGCAAACTCTCTTGGTATACCGGAAGCTTGGCACACAGAAGAATTCTATGATAAATAATGAACCCGTGATCCTTGTTTAAAACAGGAATGGGGGCTGGGGTTGAAGACCCCAGTGGTAGAGCGCTTGACTAGCACATGTGAAGCACTGGGGTCCATCCTCAGCACCACATAAAAATAAATAAAATAAAGGTATTGTGTCCATCTACAACTAAAAACTATTATTAAAAAAAAAAAAAAAGAATCAGTGGTCAGCAGTCCGGCCAGGAGACAGGAGAAGTCAGTAGGTGACCTTTCAAGGGTCTTCTCAGRCTGGACAAAGCCCTGTGTTTGAGATGTCTGGGGTCCTTCCTCTCCCTCAGGCCTACTGGACTCTGCTTCTTTCCCAGAGCTCCTTTAGGTACCTCATTTTGGCTGTTTCTGGAGCTGGACTCTGGGCAGAACACCCACTTTTCCCTGCCCTTTTCAGAATGTGGGGGTGGAGGACAAGGTGGCCAGGGTGGGACCCCGAATCCATAGAGTTTATCCAAAAGACTCAGGGTCAAGTGTTTTCTGAAAGGTAATTCAGAGCAGTGCACATACAGGCACCACACAGGGGCCATGTCCCTAGTCAAATGTGCTCACATCTTCATAGAAACAGAAGGACATCTACCCTAAGTAGACTAGATAGACTGTGAAGAGCATTATGTCAGTTTAGGTCAACTTTTGTGGCCAAAACAGTTAAGAAGAACCCTGTGGTTTTTAGCGCTTTTGAATTTAGGATCAAGCATATGGGATAATGGATCTGTGGAGGCCCTCATTGCCACAGATACCATGCTCCCCACAGGCRCCATCTGCCCTGTTGTCAGACTGGGGCAAGGGGGCCCGCAGCTCCACACAGAGCAGACCCTGGGGTGGGTGGGCATTTGTGAAAAAGGAGAATGGATTTTTTAAAGGTTAAAATCCTGTCTGCTGTAGGTCAAGAACACAGACATTGGAATTGGACAGATCTGTCCCGAAGCCCTCTGTCACTGGTCACTAACTGGCTGCAACTCATGGCAAATTAACCTCACATAGTGAGCTTCCTCATCTATAAATGGCCATTAGTATAGCRGTATTATTGTTTTTGGAGGATTCAGTGAGATACTGAGTGTCAGGGCCTGACAGAAAGAGGGAAAGGAACCATACTTTTCCCAGAACTACAGAACCTGCGCAGCTTCCTGACTCCACTCTCAGGTAGGGGCAGGGACCTGGACCCTCTTCTCCTATGGTCTCAGGAGAGGGTCTGGATCCCTCCTGTATTCCTACCCTAGCTCTAACAGTCTTGCCAACAGAAGGGAGGAAGCCAGCTGACTTCCGGAAAGGACCCTGTGGGCTGGGCCCCTCCCTACCCCAACCCCACAAATGAGGAAAATCCCACAGACCTTCTGTCTTCATGTACCTGATCCCGGTTCTTCACCAGCGCCGAGTTGAGGTCCCTGAGGCTTTTCTGTGTCTCTGTGATATTCTGGGAACATCTGGAGAGAACCTCAGCCAGCTATGGGACAAAAAGGCAGACCCCCGGGGGTCCCTAGTTTGAGGCCTGCTGGGCAGCCCGGCTAGAACACTGCCCACCCCCACCTTTGCTCCTGTCTCCCAGCTCACTCACAGTCTGCAACCTGGACCTCAGGTCTGCAACCTCCTTCAGCTCCTGGACCTTAGGTGATTCCGCTGTGCTGTTCAACCTGGAGAGAAAGAAAGAGGGAGGCTGCACTTGAGGGCTTAGGAGCAGGGATCTCTGGGAACACATGCTGGCATGGCATCTTTGAGACAACCTTGATGGCTCTCAGGGTCTCTGGGAAGTTTGGCACAAGGAGCCAACTTGAGAGAGCTCTGTAAACCATGGTTGTGACATTGTTGAGTTCTGCAAAGAATAAAGGTTGAGGTGCATTGGGACACCTTGAATTTATGAAAATGTATGAGCTCATGATACAAAGTAGCTTTCATGAACTCCTTACCAGGACAATTTGTAATTAAACAGAGAAAATGAAGTTCCTTTCCAGTAGAAACTGTACTCCGTGATAACCAACAGTTATGAAAGGGATCTGTCTTTTGTAGACTACTAGGCAATAACATGCCATGGCTTGGGATGGTAGTATCCTATTTCCCCAGAGAAATTATGCTCTTGAGCATAATATTAAAATCAATGATGAATGATGGAGGGGTGGACCTTTGCATGGTGACAAAGTGACATTATCCTGATTCTTTCATTTGCAAGAAAAATGTGTGTAAGTAGAGGAATCAGGCTGTCACTGCCCAGTGATGTGTCAATAGGAAGTATCCAGTGTCATCTATGATGAGTTCTAACATAAAATGCTTAACTTGAATCCATTCAATCTGTAGAAGTTCCAATGTAAATTGGAAACACCAGGAAAGAAGAACAGGGAGACATCATGATGAGGAAGCTCTAAATGAGCCAGAAGACGGGACAACGAACTTGGTCCCTGCAATAAGCCAGTGGCGTGTACAGCGGGCAATTGGGAGAGTTTGTGCCAGCTTAGAATAGAGTTAAGGGACAGAACGACCAGAAACAAAGTGAGGTCTTGGACTGGATTCCAATTTGAATAAAACTAGCTGTAAAAGAAAATGTGAGGGGTAATCTGAAAAATCTGAAAAGAGATATGTACCAGATAAGAGGAAACTGTATGGATATAGAAGGGGGTGGTGCTCCTTAGCTGAGAAAAGTAGGCTATAGAGTACTGAATAAATACATGCTGGTTAATATGCATTTTTGCATATTAACTCTTATAATAGAAAGTGATTTACTACATATAGATATGCTAATGGAATATAACAGCCTGTCTCTGGGGGGCAAAAGGTGGTGAAGTTTTCTTTTGCTTATCTGTACTTTCTAATATTCTACCATTAATAAATGCTTTTTATTTATTTTATTTTTAAAAACAATTTTAGCCACATTCCCAGCCCTATTTTGTATTATATTTAGAGACAGGGTCTCACTGCTGAGGGTGGCTTTGAACTTGCAATCCTCCTGCCTCAGCCTTTGGAGCTATTGGGATTACAGATGTGTGCCACTGTGCCCAGTGACATATACTTTTTAAATAACAATAAGAATTAAGAAAAAAAAGAATCCCATATATTTTAGCTTAGGAATGGAGGATCGGGGAGGAAAGAAGTGAGCAGAGGGCTTAGGGGTGAACTTGAAGGTCCACAAAGGCAAGGACACTGTCTGTTTTGCTCATCCGGTACGTCAGGGCCAGCAGAAGTCACCACTTCATGAATGCGGAGCCCTTACTGGATGCCATTTGGGGCGGGGAATACTAGACGGCAGAAGAGGACCAGCTGACCCAGTGCAACCCCTCAGGGAGTCAGGAGTCCTGGATTCGAGTCCTGGTCCTGCTAGCCACACTTGCCATCTGCGTGACCTTGGGTTAGTCCCCCTAGCTTTCTAAGGTCTCAGGCTCTTCATCTATAAAACAGGGAGATAAATTTTCTTCCTGCTCCTTAATAAGGTGTTCATGGGGATCCAATGAGACCTCCATGGTAAAGGGCTTGCCAGCATACAGTTTTGGGGTGGGACTTGGGGCCCTGGGATTCTCAGAGCCAGTCCTAGCTGCCCAGACAGTGCCTCAGGTGGCAGCAGCTGCAGAGGAGTGTCACAGGGCTTTGGGACAAAGGCAGGACTACTCTGCCAAGGGAGCTGTGGGGGAGTAGGGGGCTGAGAGATGCAAGCTGCCTGCTGGGGACGAGGGTGACCAGGCGAGGCACCAAGGGGCTGCTCTGTACCTGCAGATGTTACCTGCAGCTCAGATACCTCAGATTCCACTGCAGGTGGAGCTAGTGGCTTTGGCCCTTAGAGGAACCTACAGGTCTGAGGATGTGCAGAAGAGAATGGGATTGCAAAATGTTGGAGCTGGGAGGCCCAAGAAGTAGTTTAGAAAATGAGGACAGAGGCCCAGGTGGGGAAAGGTGGTGAGGGCCTGGTCCTATCACACCTGGCCCTCTGGAGTCCTGCTCTCATCCTCCTTGACAGGAGAATGTAGCATGCCTGACCATGAGTTCCCCAGACACACCAGGCCTCAGGGAGGCCTTGGAGGCAGAAAGGAAAAACAATAGCCCATGACACCAGGCTCCACCACCTGTCAAGCCAGGGCAAAGCTAGACGGATGTGCAATCAATTTCTCTACACACCTCTTCCCTGATAGAGAACCTAATGGTCACTTTATTGGCACCCAACCTCCCTCTAACTGGACCCTCCTGGACCCCCATGCTCTCCACTCCATTCCCCACCCACCACCCATCCCTCTCTGGCTTTATTCCAGGACATTTGCCATCCCGACTGTGGTTTCACTAACCTCACAGGACCCCCCTCCTTCCTCTAAACATGGTCCTCTTTTCCAATCTCTGCATAGACCCTCCTACAAAAGGTATTCTTTCTCTTTCTGGCCTAAAATGCCTCTTCTTCCAGGAAGGCTTCAGTGGCTGCCTCTACCTCTCTTTACTTTTTCTGCCAGCCCTCATGTGTCAGAGAAGTCTGGGGCCCTCTGTGTGATGTGATGCCACATCTCTCCCTGGATCTCCTTTCTGAGCTCTGGACAGAGTCTGCTCAGAGGAGATTCATAAGCCATGCTGATAGATCCCACCCTGTGTCACCATTTGAAGGGGCTCAGCCATGACAGGACTCCACCCCTGTCATCTGGAGACACTCCTTTTCCTCATATCCCCTCTGCCCCATTATCAGTGTGGATGCTGCCAGACCCCAGGAGGCAGGCAGAGCTGTGGGGAGTCAGCCCAAGGAGAGCCATTCCCTCACCTCTGAGGACAAGGGCTGGGGATGGCGGGGGACTTCAGGTGTGTTTGGCAGTATCTGCTTCTTTTCACCACCATCTCCTCGTGGCAGGAAAGACTCTGGTCTGCAGAGCTCCCATCTCTCACCTGCCTCATACCTAAGACTTCCAGGGTTTGGGGGGCTGTGCCCACTTCTCCACAGTGCTCTGGCAAAAAAAAAAAATCTTCCCTTTTTCTCATTTCTAGAACCCCCAGCTCTGCTTCCTCTCCCCATCCTCTCTCTCTCTTTCTAACCCATCATCCCTACTTAGCCCAAAACAGGGGAATAGAAGGTACAGGGTCCTGATGACTGGGCAGGGAACCCAAAGAAGACAGAGACAAGTGGAAAATCCGGAGGAGGCAGGAGCAGGGGCATGGAGATCATTGGATCTCCACCTTGGGTCAAGTCCATGGACTGTGCATGGCCATGGCCAGGAGTCTTTCCCTAGAGTTCTGCTTTGGGTCTTGGTGCAGCATGAACATCCCAAATCATTCAGGGAGAGACCTAGGAGAGCAGAGACCCCTTGCTGGGGCTGGGAGACTACCTGATACTGGGACAGGCAGTGCCCTCAGAGTCTCCCAGGTGAGTGACTGGACTGGGAGGGTTATTTTGCAGTCATCCTGACAGGTGGGGCAGGAGGGACAGATTGGGAGTGCCCTCTCTATTTTAGCAGGCAGGGGAGGCAGGAGCTCTGGGTCAGGGAAGACCAGATACACCACAGGAGCCATAAAGGGTATAGAACAGACACAGAGAGAAGGGTTGGCCTGGGCAGGATACTCACCTCTCAGTGCCCAGGCTGCTGCTGAGGAAGAAGAGGGCTGTCCGTGTGACCTCCTGAGTCCGACAGCATGTGGCCTGCAGCACCTCCCTGCTCGAGAGGAGTCTGAGTCAAGGTCGCCCTCATTGGGGCACCAAACAAGCCATGCACATTGGCATGGTCCCTGGGAAGTGCAGAGGAACTCTGGATGGTTAGCCTTGCCCTTTCTGCCCGCCCTGCCCTCCCCCTAGCCCTCAGGGGCACTCACACGACCCAGTACAACCCCCGAAGCATTAGCTCCTGCCCGTCTAGCAGGATCCGAGCTAGCCGCAGGGACTGGTAACCAACGCCCAGCACACCCTGAAACACACAGGTGGGCAGGGTCAGGTCCCACACCTCTTACCCCTGTGCCACACCTCCTCTCTGCCATCTGGGCACACCTCTCACCTTAGCCGTGTTGTAATCTGCCTGTAGGTCCACTTTGGGGACGAACTTGGGGATGTCCAGAGCAGCTGCAGATAAAGACCCTATCTGAGGGATTTGTCCCTATGGTCTGGATCAATTCTGAGCTCATCCTTTCTTGTCCCCAGATCACATTCCACCCTCAAGAATCTCTCACCTCAAACTTCCCAATTCACCCAGAGCCCTCACCTTCCAGGGCTTAAATGAAAGGAGAGAGAGTGGGTTTTAAGTTGCAGTCCTTTACTGCCACCTTGTGGCCATTTTGGAGAATCCTCAAGCTCAAGATTTGGCTCAACAGAAAATGAACAAAACCCCTTGGGCGTCTTGCCCAAGGGTTTCAAGGTTAAATCACCTTCCCCACCTCAGGGAAGGAAGATGAAATTGGCATCATTAAAATGAGAAAGGATGATAGTTTTCTAGAACTTGGAGAAAGGAGAAAGCTCTGGAACTCTGACTACCTGCCCTTTACTCTAGCAGCTTGGGTTCCTGTTTCTTCCAATACCAACTACCAAGGTATTCCCCTGTATCACAGAGATTGGGCAGCACACACTAAAGCCAAAACCCTGATTCAGTTGGTGTTGCTTTCACAGATCTGAGAACACTGAGAAGCCCCTGGGGTCAGGCCACCAACTCAAAGTCACATGGTATCTCAGAGGCATGCACAGAATGTAAACCYGGATCTGCCTTCTATACCCCATGCACCCCCAAACAAAACAAAACAAAACAAAAGAAACCAAAACAATTAGTTAATGCCCAGGATTGTAATCCCCTATATCCTGGAGGAGAATGCTGCCCAGCCTGGGTGACCCTACTCACGGTCCCTGAAGGCTAGCCCCTTTGGAGTCTCGCTGGCCATGCTGAACAGGGTCAGAGGGCTGCTGGCAGTTGTGTGGGTGATGTGCTGTGCTGAGAGGTTGGGCTCAAGAACACAGAGGTGACCCTCAAAGAGGTATTCCTGGTGGTGGGGGGCCACATTGGTCTGCTCATACACGGCATCCAGAAAGATGGCTATCCTAGACCCACCAGGGAGAGAGGGAGGGGAGGAAGAAGGATTAGTGGGCCGGATGTGGAGTCAGGGGACCAAATCCCAGCTAAAACTTGTCCCATGGGGGGAGCTTAGCTTTTTAGAGGGAAGGATGGAGGTGGTTCTCCCTCTCATCAAAGATAAGAGAGAAAGGGCAGAAACAGGACCCCGAAGTCCCAATACCCAACCTCTGCATTTGCACACTGGTTCCCGCTACATTTTCCTTAAAATTCTCCTAATCCCATAAAGTACTCTAATAAATTTAGGAAATGCACACACACACACACACACACACACACACACACACACTCACACACACACTTCTGAGACTTAGAATGCACATTGGCATCATGAAGAATACTGGACTTCTGAAGTACAAGCAAGGAAATCTGTTTAATTTTGTGGAACTGGTACTTTTCCAAACTAGGTTTGGACCCAGAAGATTTCATACCTAAGCCCCCATGCCTTGGGAGGTGCTGCCTTAGACTCACATTTCTGCTTGGGTGGAGAAAGCCTTCATGCCTTCCCTCCCTCACCCCCTACTCACGTGTTGTGGGCGTGGATGTAGACACGGTGCAGGACAGCCTGGGACAGGGAGAAGACGTGGACGACAACTCGCTGCAGGATGTCACTGGTTTCCGCAAAGAACTGGTCGAAGCCCCAGCATTTGGCCTGCTCCACTTCTAGGATGTTGGCCAGGATAGGCACCAGCTGGCTCTGCAGCCCCCTGCCCTCCCAGGACATGGAGATGGTCAGGGGCTAGGGCCAGATGGGTCCTCCTCAAGYAGGCAATGGGGACACTCCATGAGAAGGTCCTGAGGACCTAGGACCAAGGTGGTGGGGCAGGCTGGGTTGAGAAAGAATTACTGGAAAAAATTCATTCCAGCATCCAAATGGAAAACCCGAGGCCACAAAGGAAAAGTGGTGTACCCAAGAGAGCCACTAGAACAGGCCTCCAAGTTTCACTCAGCTGAGAGAAGTGATACCCAGCCCAGACTTGGGGATGTGCTCGCCCTTCCCACTCACATGGACAGCTGGCAGGTGATGGGGAGAGTGTAGCTCCACTCCAGGGGTCCGTTCTCACGCTTCTGGGTACCTGCAATGGCCCCAACTGGTTTCTCTGTGGTGATGCGGTACCTGGGGTRGGCAGGATCAGTCAGTGGGGCTCCCAGCCCACCATACTTCAAATGACAACAAACTTATCACAGAGGGTGCAAAGCACCTGTTAATGCCACCCAGACACTCTGAGGTGAGCTGGAAATGGAATTGGAGAGGGATGGCCCTCAGCCCATGAGAGCCCCTTGCCTTGGCTCCCCAGTCAAGCTCCTTGCTCTAGACAGAGACCTTCCCACCATCTGCTATCTCCACCCACTTCTGCATATCCCACAACCCAGTCACCTCCACACCTGTGCCATGCTGATCTTGGCCCCCAATCTCCTCTCCTCCTCTGTCCTTTTCTCACCCAACCCTCTCTTCAGTGTCTCTCCTTCCCTGAAAACCCCATCCATGCCAGTCTCTTTCCCTTGTCTCTAAACCTAATATAGGCTCCACATAGCTTGTCCCTTGGGCTGAAGATTTGAGCACCAGCCTTCCTGGTAATCCACTGATAAAACAGAAATTCTGAGATGTCATAAATGTAATTACTTGCACCAGGAGATGGAGTAGGGAAGAGATAAGGGAAGTTAATCAGTTAATAGCTCCAAGGACACGAAGGGAAGAGTGTTCCACATTCCTGGAAACCTTGGCTTCAGTCCCCTCACTGTTGACCACCAGGACCATCCTGCCCTGTTTTCATATCAACATTCTGGACTCTTAACTCAAGAGGCAATGAGTTCTTCTTATGGACAGCTTCCTATTCCAAAGCTTTCCTGCCTCATCCTGGGARAGAGTGCAGAGAGCAGCCATGGAGGAGGACAGTGGGCAGGGGGCACTTTGCGTGGACTTCTGGTGGACATGGAACCATTCCGAATCCATTTACTTTATCAGCACTGTGTTCACTACCCAGAGCATAGCACAGCCATAGATTCAGTGTAAACAAGTTGTGTGTGTGTGTGTGTGTGTGTGTGTGTTTGTTTATTTTCCCTAAAATTTAAAAAGAAATACTCTTAACTCTAGGTCCAGTGGACATTTTTCTGACTGCTACCTAGCTCTGCTGCTGTAAGTTGCAGGATTCACACCAGGACCTGCTTTTTTTTTTTTCGTTTCTTTTTCTGATGAGCATATGTGAAAGCTCAATGAACCCTTTTATTTCAGAGATCCTGCAGTCTCGAGACTTGGTGTGACACCAAAATCATATCCCTTTTGTTCTGGGCAGTGCAGCCTAGGAGTAACCACTGTCTCCAGTTCCTTCTGTAGCTAACATCTGAAAACCACAGGAGACCTTGGACCTGGGAGCTGGCCCCTCCTTGGCCCTGGCAGACTCTGCCACCTTGGGCAATTCTCTCGGTGGAGAGGTGGTGAGCTGGGCGCCAGGGAAGTGAAACACTGAACCAAGAAAAGGGAGGATGAGCATCTCCCGCAGAGCCAGGGGAAGTTCAGCTTCTAGTCTGAGTGAGGAGCCTGGGTGGGGCAGGGGAAAAGGAGGCAGCAGGGACCAGTGAGGAAAGGGCCAGGGTCAGCCAGAATGACCCCCTCATTCCCTACCCTGTGGCCCACCGTACATGATCTCCTTGTTGCGCCGGGGCCCACCAAAAGGGACGAAAGGAAGGCTGCCGGTAGCTGCGTGGTACAGGGTCACCCCGATGCTCCAGAGATCCACAGTCACCCCAAATGCCTTTTGCTGAGGCTTGCGAAGCACTGCCCGCTCATACATGTCAGGGTGCTGTGAGAGAGAGAGCAGAGAGCAGCCGTGGAGGGGGACAGTGGGCAGGGGGCACCTTCTGTGGACTTCTGGTGGACATGGAACCATTCTGAATCCATTTACTTTATCAGTTTAAAAATGGGCACCATGTTCACTACCCAGAGCATCACCCTCTGCAMAGGGGAAGGTGTTGACTGGTTGCATCTCACCTCCTGAGGATGGGTCCGAGGAGCTAACTGTGGGGGGCTAGGCAGGCCTCTTAAAGAGCAGAAGGAATTCTGGTAGGGGTCTAGCAGGGGTGGAGGAGATATAACCCTGAGAGAGCAGGACGAGGGGCAAGAACCCCTTCTAGGGGGCTCTAAACAAGGCACAAATCAAGAGTAATCAGCATGGGGAAAGACCCTCAGCCTGGGACAGCAGGTCCCCACATGTCACTCACCAGGTACTCCTCTGTCCCGTAGACAGAGATGAACTTCTCATCGTCATCTAGCTCCCGGGCAGCCCCAAAGTCTGTCAGCTTGTAGATGCTCTGTCCCTCCTCCCCAATGAGGCGCATGATGTTGCCAGGCTTGATGTCCCGGTGCACGATGCCGTTCTCCCGCAGGTGGTTCATGCCGGCCACTGGGGACAGACAGAGGGCTGCTAGCTGGCYCTGGGAAAGGCTGTCCTCGGCCCCAGGGAGACCCGGAGGAGTTCCCACCAGGTGACAGGGCCACAAAAGAAACAGGAGAACAGAGATGGGCACGGGGGAAGGAGGGACGTTCTAAGGACCCTAAAGTATTGAGGTTCCATCTGGATTCTCAAAGAAACCCAGGGCCTGCCTTTCCCCTTCTTATTTTTTTGTGGCCAAAGATAGTTCACACAATTTACCATTTTAACTGTGTTGGTGTGAACAGCACAGCGCATTAAGCACATTAATATTGTCAAGCGCTCATCACTAGCACCTATCTCCAGAATTTTCTCATCTTCCCAAATGGAAACTCCATATCCATTAAACAACACCCCACCCCCAGGCCTTGCAACCACCATCCTGCCATCTGTCTCTAGGGATCTGACCACTCCAGGAAGCTTGTGGGAGTGGGACCATGCAGTTGTCCTTCTGTGTTTGGCAGAGTATCCTCTGGGTGCATGCATACTGCAGCTGATGACAGGATGTCCCTCCTTTTTAAGGCTGGAGTGGATCCTACTGTATGCATGTACATTATTTTATCCTTTTAGATATCCCCCACCCTTGGCCCTGTGAATAATGCTGATTGTATATAGGCATACACTCTTTTTAAAATTTATTTTTATTATTTTTTTGTACTAGGGATTGAACYCAGGGGCACTTAACCACCAAGCCACATTCCCAGCCCTTTTTATATTTTTATTTTGAGATAGGGTCTTGCTAARTTGCTTAGGGCCTCACTAAGTTGCTGAGGCTGGCCTTGAACTTGCAATCCTCTTGCCTCAGCCTCTGGAGCAGCTGGGATTATAGGTTTGGGATTATAGCCACCACACCAGGCTTAAAATTTATTTTTAAATTATAGTTTGAAGCTGAATGATTAACAGGAATCAGACACCTGGGTTCTGCCCGTTTGTCTCAGTACTGTAAATGGAGACCCTCGAGAACGCTCATTTGGATTGGGATTACTTGTTTCAGAATGTCCTACCCCCCTGGGTGGAGGGCCCAGGCCATGGCTGGTCCGATGGGAGCTGGGGACAGGGCGGGCTCACCCACACAGCGCAGAACCACCAGGAACTCGTCCTCYGGCAGCCCGAACGTGTTCTCTGGGCTCTCCAGCACGCTCAGCAGACTCCCGCTAGAGCAGTACTCCATCACCAGCACCTTCTGCCGGCCGCCCCCCTGTGGCCGGGACAGAGGAAGGCTGAGGCGGAGGGCACTTCCCCTCCCCCCATCAAGAAGAGGTGGCTCCCTGAGTAGCGCCCAGAGCTCTAGCAGCTTCTGGCCTGGCCTTCCCTCTTTGGTCTTACACGGATCCCACAGGCCAGAATCCAAGGCCACCCTTCACAGGAAGCCCTCTCATTAGGAAATGATTCCCTCATGCATTCTGACGTGCTGTCCCACCCACCCTTGAGTTTTTTTTTTTAATTGGTGCATTATAATTCTACACAGTAGTGGGATTCATGTGACCTATTCATACATGCATATGGCATAGATTGATCAACTTCATTCCCCAGATCTTTCCCTTTTCTGCCTCTCCTCCCTCCCTATCCCCTTCCTCAACTCTTTCTATTTTCACGAGGTTCTTTTAGTATTTTTTTTTTCTCTCTAGCTTCCACATATGAGGGAGAACATTCTGCCCTTGATTTTGAGACTAACTTGTTTCGCTCAACATGTTGCTCTCCAGTTTCCTCCTCCCTGGTCTTGACTTTTTGATTAGCAGGTGACCAAGTCTCTCCCCAGACTGAGGATCAAGAWCAAGGCCATCCAACTTGACCCATCACGGGACTCACCGTCTCCTCCACTGCAAACAGCTTGACGATGTTCTGATGATTCAGCTTCCGCAGGACCTCGAACTCCCTCCCCTGTACCTCGCGGGGGCGCAGGTAGCTGGCGGTGTTGAAGACCTTCACAGCGACCAACTCCCCGGATTTCTGCCATGGGGAGGAAGGTTGGGAAGTGGCCTGGGACAATGCAGGTCCCACCCCTGCTGAGGAGCCGCCAGGCTCTCTGGGGCTCCTCTTCAGACTCCCAGCAGCCAAACCTAAGGAAGGAAGCAGGCTCCTACCCCCAGGTCCTTCCCCTATTCAGGCAGTAGATGGTCAGGCCCTGGGAGGTGACAAAGGCTTGGCACACCCAAGACCCTACAGGTGATGGCTTGTGGCAACTGTTACTCTTGCCATAGATACTAACTGCAAAGGCACTCAGCAGGAGGGCTGGGATTGGAACCTGGGCTACCTGAATCCAACTCCCACATAGGAGAGGGGAGCCTCATATATAATGATCTGGCTCCACAGCAGATGCAGGATAAACCCAGGCATCCTGCTTCCCGCCTCTGCTATTCCTAGATCCCACTTGCTATCACCTCCCCCTGGATATTTGCTTTATGCTGTCATCTGTCTCCTGTCCTAACTCGTACCTACTTCGTTCCCCACTGCCCAAATCCATGGAGTCCTTCCTCCCAAGTGGGTACAACGAGTCTGATGTCCCTGTCCAGCCACACACCACCTCCAGGCCCACCGGAGGCTGCTAGGGCTTCCTGCTGGGCACAGGGTAGTGGGGGTGGGCTGGGTTGGCCAGACTGCGGCCCCCACAGGGTTGCCACTTACCTTGTTGCGGGCCTTGTACACACTGGCAGTCGCCCCCTGGCCCAGCAGYTCATCTGTGTGCCACAGGTAGTTGGCGGTGCTCTGCATCTCCTCTCCCTGGAAAAAGTACACGCGGGGGACCCCAGGATYCTATTCCTAACCTGGAATGGACATTGATGGCCAGTCCAAGGCCACCCCAGAAAGGGCTCCATATGGCCATTTTACAGGAGTGGGGAAGTTGGAAGCACAGAAAGGTTAAGTAACTTCCTCCAAATGAAGCRTAACCAAGAGGGGGCCTGCTGGGCCCTCAGCCCACAGCTGGGCCTGTTCTACCCACAGGGCCATCTGTCTGTACTCACTCCCCAGTGTCCCCCAGCCCCTCCCATTCTGCAGAGACTAGCTTCTTTACTCCATCACTTCTTCCAGACTCTAGGGTTTTGGCATCCAGGCCTGGGACTGTCCCAGGAAGAAGAAACAGTGCAGGAGGAAGGGCCTCAGGTCAGTCACACCACCACAAATCTCCAAGATTGCAACATGAGCCTGGAGCCCCCACACCACCCACTGCCTGACTGCCCGGCCCCCACTTCCTCTGCCCTGAGCTAACAGCTGCTCACCAGGTCACCAGCATACAGGTCAGTGCTGTTACAGAGAGGGAGAGAGAGAGAGAGAGAGAGGAGGAGAGGGACAGGGAACAGGCAGTGGGTGGGGAAGGCCAGAGACCATCAAACACAAGCCCTGAGGAGGATATGAAACCCCTCTACAGCCCTGTTCCCCATCTTTTCTCCTGTCCTGTTTTCTCCAAAGGCCAGTTCCTTTAAAGCAACTGATTCCAGAAAGGGTAGCCTTAGAAGTCAATCTCAATGCTTGTCTGAAGTATTAGGTYAGGACTGGCCATTCTGAAATGCCTGAGGGCATCTGGGAAGGAATCCTAGATTAGACAAGGGCCTACTTCTGCTCTCATATCCCAGGCCTGGAATCCTATGTTGCTTAGCTTTAAGCCTTTTCTCTCTCTAATCATTTTTTTTTTTTTTTGAAAATGCAAATCCTTGAGTATGTCAGCTCCTTGAGTCAGAGGCCATTGGTCAAGTCCAGTTCATTGGTCAAGTCCGAGTTTCATACTTGAAACTTGTGTTTGCATCATGCAGAAGCAACTGAGGCACTGAGACTATGTAGCAGCTCATTATGGATGAACTGGCCAGGTTGCCCTGGGAGGAGTCAGCTGGAGGTCTGGGGTGTGAGGCTGGGGCAGAGCACACTGAAATCAAGCCCAAGGGCCTGGCGTGGGGAGCTCAGCCCCAGCAGGTTGCATGACCTTCATCATTCTTCCTTGGGCTAGTGCAACACAACCCCTGTGCAGGGTGTGGCCAGGAATAGCTGAGAACCTAGGATGACCAGCAGTGTGGTGCAAAAGGCAGGGCCTCACGGCGGGCGACAGAGCCTTGGGTTCTGTGCCTAGGAGCTCTGCTTGTGGCACATCTGGCTCTATCTGCTCCGGCACCTGTGCACAGAGGGCTCAGTAGCCTTTATTGAGTGGATGGACGACGGATGAACAACGGATGGACGACGGATGAACAACGGATGGACGACGGCACAGAAGGTGCGCTGACCCACCCGTGGCCTCCCCGCCCTCCTTGGGCTCTTCCGTGGCCAGATGCACTTACCCCAGGCTCTGAGTGGCCCTGAATCAGGCTCTCCCTGGCAAGTATGTGTTATGCTCTCTGTCTGTGGCAAGTCCAGGAGCTGAGCTACACCGGAAAGAGGAGGGCGGATGAGAGGCCCCCTTGGTGCTTTTTGATTCTCAGCCCCCATCAAAGGCCACCAACCCCAGCCCTTTAACCCTTTCCTGTTTGTCACCTCCCCCCCAGGGCTGGGGGGTGGTTTCCAGTCTTCTTCCCCAGCTGTTCTGGGAGCCTTTCCTGACCACTCCTACTCCTGGGACTCCGGCCAGTGAGAAAGACCCCAAGGAGAGGTGTTGGGAAGCTCCGGGGTGTGGGGAAGCCCAGGAAAGGGGCACTGGTAGCTGATGGGGTGTTCTTGTGTGCCACAACCCTCCATGGGGCTCGCTGGCCTCCAGATAGTCCTTCCCAAGAGTGTCCACCAGGGAAGGTGTGCAGGATACCACCCTCCCCCCAGTAGCCACAGAAAGCACAGGCAGTGGGCGCTGGGCCCCCTGAGCCACTCCTCTGCTGATGTGCCTGCCTCGGCTGAGCCCCACCCTGCACTGCCCATGCCCAGGATCCCCATGTCACCCTCCCAGGGGATGCTGCATACTCACCCCATCGCGGCTTCAGGGGATGCCCACTTGTAGGACGGGGTGGCACCCCTGGCACCCTCAAGGCTTGCAGCAGTTATTCCTGGGCAGTACCCACAACATCCTGATAGTCAAGGACCCTGGGACACAGGCAGGGCTAGTTGAAATGGCCCTGTGACGGCTGGGAGCTGGGATTACAGGTTTCTTCCCTGCCAGCCCTGACACCCCGCTCTGTAGAGCCCTGGCTCTGGGCTCTCTCATACTTCCTGATTTTGTTCTTTCCCTCCCCACCTCTCTCCCTCTCTCTCTCTTAAAGAGACAGGCAGCTTGGCTGCTACCGACACCACAGCAGGAAGGAGAAAGAGGATGCTTTGAGTTCTCAAGTGGAGGCAATAGAACTAGAGTCCGAGCCACAAAGAGGCCAGGAACTAGGCCTGGGCATCTGTGGCAGGCCACTGGGTCCTGTTTTGGCACCTCCTGCAGTTCACTGGAGCAGGGAATTTCAGGTCTCTACCTAGAATCCCCAGAGCAGGTTGGGCAAGTTAGCCAAGTAGAGAGCTGCTGGGAAGATGGAGTTCCCACACCCAAGAGCCCCAGGGAGGTCCAGGAAGTGTACCTTGCCACTTCTAGGAGAAGTCCAATCTGACTTGCCTTCCCAGGAACCCACAGAGGCCCAGGGGCAACACTGGAACCCAAGTCAAGTACTCCAGTGTGACCTGGAGCATGGCATACAACCCCTCCCAATCCACTTTCTCAGCCACAGCATGAGGGTRCACACATTCCTTGGGCTTATGGAAGTCAGAACAGTAAATCCACAAGAGCCTGGGAGACTGGACAGCGTTTTTCAGATAGGCATTGAAGGTTTTGAAGCTCACACACATTTAGTTATTGGACCATAATCTTCACAGACTGCTGGGCTGGAATGCAGTATGCCAGCTTCCCAGACAAGACCCAGTACCCTAGAATCAAATGTCCTGGGAAGCTGGAGAGGTCTGTGCTGCTCTGATCAGCTCTGAGATAGCAGTTGAATAAGAAATGGTTAAAACCAGGAAATTCCATGTTTCTATAGAATGTTGGAGGGACTTTCCCATGGCCACACCTGGTGGTTTCCTCTGCCAGCCACACCCCTACCACAGTGACACCAACTCAGGAGCAAGAGCAAACTGCCTCCTGCTCAGATCAATCTACTTGATAACATGATTTACTTGATAACAAGGCAGCTGTGGGTTTTCATAGCAGGGCCAGGAGGAATGCTCCTGAGAGCCAAGTGCTCCACCCTGTATTCCTGCTGGACATATGGGAAAATTGAACTTCCTTGGCTCTGTGACTGGGGAAGAAGAGAAGCAGGTGACATCACAATCAAAGCATTTAGTTGCTGCCGAAAGACCCCCTAGAGCTCGTATCCTCCAGCAAGGAGATTCTATTAAACGTGGTAGTCTAGTCCCTGGTTACTTTCTCAAGCACAGCGCCCCCTGCCGGCCAACAGGGGACCTTTAGCTTTAGTGAGAAATCAAACTTGTTTTAGGCCACTGAAGATTGTGTTATAAGCTAAATGCTACACATTTTCCCCTGATGAATCAGCGCTCTTACTTTCCTCTCTCTAGCAAGCCCAGTCTCTTTCAGTGTCTCTAGCAGCTTCAATTGCAACCATAAAGCACCATTGTAAAGCAGACACTATGTGCTCAGGATGCAAAGGGGAGAATTAGGTGTCCTCGGAGGGGTCTGGGAGTGCTTTATATGTGCTAACGTATACACTTCAGCAGATGGTGATTTGGTGGCCCTTAGAAGAGGGACAGCAGAGAGTCAAGAAGGGCTGGCCAGTCAAGAAGGTTTTCTTGACCCGACTTTGGAAAGAGGAGAGTTAAAGAAGGGGGAGTTGGAGGTAAGAAGTTTGAGGCAGAGAGGACTGTGCAGAGGCGCAGAATGATGGGCAGAGTGTGCCTGGTTACTTGTTCAGGCAGTGTGAAAAGAAGGGGGGAGGCGGATCTGGGCTAGAGGCAGATCAGGCTTCATGGGGCATCCCTTTGGGGACACGTGCTCTGTGTGGACAAGATGAAGAAATGAGCCCTGGCTGGGCAGCGTGGCTGCTATTTTGTCTGGGGAGGTCCTGGAACATGCAGGCCTCCCAGAGAGAAGACTGAGAAGTCTAAGAGGCCTCACTGCATTTCCCAAGTAGCTCTGAGGAATCATAGAAATAGAAGTGGCAATTCAAAGGTAGCCCAAGGACCACAGACAGGAAGGGCTAGCAGGGTGGGGGTGGGTTTCTTGATGGCAACTCTGGGGGCAGAAGGAATCTCATATGTACCTTCTGCAAAGCAGTGGTGTGGAGGGAAGGGCAGGAGCTAGCCACGTCAGCCCAGAGGCTGACATCTGGCTCTGCCTTCCCTTGCAAGAGACAATGACTTTGAGCAAGTCACTCAACCTTTTTCAAAGAGTTGGTGTGAAGCATAATGAGATGAAGTGCCTAGGACCTGGTAGGCTCTGAATAGAAATTAACTTGTTTTGGGCTTGGTGGTGTGTGCCTGTAGGCCCAGCTACTTGGGAGGCCAAATAGGGAGGATCACTGGAGCCCAGGAGTTCAGGGCTAGCCTGGGCAATACAGACAGACCCCATCCTTTAAAAAAAAAATAGGGTCTGGGGTCTTAGTGGTAGTGCCTGTGCTTAGTGTGCTTGAGGCTAGGCCCTAAACACCAAAATCACCAAAATAAAGAAAAAAAGAGATTTTTTTTTTCCTGTCCGTTCGTGGCCCACACCAGTTTTTCCCAGCAGACTTACCTGCGTAGTGCCTTAAAGGGGAGGGGAAGAACCAGGGCAGTATGTGGAAGGGGAGCCCTGTAGGGGCAGGTGTAACAAAGCCTCAGCCCTGCTCCCTGCCATCTCCAGGAGTCAACTCTGGCCAGAAGCTTTGTTGCAGAAGGAGGGACAGACACTGAAGACAGACCTGGTGCCCCTAGGCTGTGGGGAAGGAAGGGGCTGTGGGAGAATTCTGGCCCCTGAGCCATCCTGCATCATCCTTCTTCCTCATTTTCTTGACTCTTCAAGCCTCCTCTGCACCATTCCCTGCCACATTCTCAGCCAAAGACCTTGCTTTCAACTTCCCTGAAATAAAAACTTCCTCGCCCCACATCCACACTGCCTGTGTCTGCACCCACACCTGCCTTCCCTCCCAAGAGACAGGCCCAGCCACCCCTCCACCTAGTCCCTATAACCCACCCCTCTTCTCCATCAAACTCCTTCTTCCTGTCCTGCTGTGTCCTGCTCATAAAGCAGAACTGCCTCAGCTCTGTCCATCTGGGGGACAAAAACCTGGTCCTCTCACCAATCTTGATGCTTCCCATTTGCTGAGCTGCTGAGATTTCCCAACTCCCTTCCCCTCTCATTGTTGCTCAATCCACGCCACCTAGATTCATTTCTCCTCTACTAAAATACTCTTGTCCAGGTCACTACCTTCTATGCCAGTCTCACTTTACCCCACTGGCACATAAGTTGGTCCCTCTCTCCTGGTCTGCACCGCTTTCTCTTGTTTCTGCGATAAGTGTTCTCCCAACCACCTACTTCCCCATGCCTTGCTTCTTCTGTCTCTTTTGGTCCTTCCCCCCTGCTGGATTTCTAATTGTTGGGACCTTCTCATTTACAGATTCTTCCAGGGACTCTCAAGAGTTTGAATACATCTATAAGTAGTAGCTCCTAAATTTGTTTTCAGGTAGGATCTCTCCCCCAAACTCCAGATCCACATAGCCAAGAGTCTGAGAGTTCCGCACCGATGTGTACAAGTCACCTCAGTCTTGCCAGCCCAGGCAGAATTCTTGGTTTCCTAACAACACTCCCTTCCTGCCACAATAGTCTTCTTGACCCACCCGGCACTCGTGTTATCTTGTCATGTTGCTTCTTTTGCTTATCACGTATTAACACATTTTTCCTCTCTAGCTCCGGTCCTGTTTTTCCTAGGCAATACTGTATGGCGGTGCTTGTAGAAGTTTATCAGTTGGCTAGTTATTGAGTCTTTGTCATATGTAGTCTGACAGGGTTAATTTCTGGGTAAAAGGAAACTTCCTGTAACTAAATAAACATTTAGATTAGCTTTTTTTTTTTTTTGGTACTGGGGGTTGAACCCAGGGACACTTAACCAATGAGCCACCTTCCCAGCCCTTTTTAATATTTTATTAGAGACAGTGTCAGTTACTGAGTTGTTTAGGGCCTCACTAAAATTTCTGAGGATGACTTTGAACTCCCAATCCTGCCTTAGGCTCCTGAGTCTCTGGGATTACAGGCATGTGCCACCGTGCATGGTTTAGATTAGATAATCTTTTGATACTGTTTCCTAAACTAATACCCACCTGGTCTCCTTTTCTGGTTTAAATCTAGGTGAAATGGGATTGCTTTTTAGATTGTTCAGTGCCCCTCCCCCACTTCCATCAAGCTTCTGTCAGAATATATAGAAGAGGATCCAAAGCACAGCCTTTACCTTAGGACTCTCTAAAGTCTCTTTGGTCCTCCGCTCACAGCCTAAGAACTGCTCCATCTCCTAGCTACACAGGTGCTCCAGTCCCCCACTCCCACTCTACCTCCATCCACCTATGCTGGGAGGGGGGACTCATTCATATCACAGGGTGGTGGAGCAGCCTCAGCTTTGACCTTCCCAAGGCCAAGTGCCCAGCAAGAGCATCTCAAGATGTAGCTATTCCATTTAAGTGGGGAAGTGGGAGAGGCATCAGGTTGGAAAGGCATGACAGAGCTGAATACAAGAAGTACAACTAGCAGATGGCAGTGATTAAATCCCTAGAAGACCATGAAGGTGCTGGGCAGGGTGGCTCACACCTGTAATCCCAGCAGCTGGGGAGGCTGAGGCTGGAGGATGGCAAGTTCAAAGCCAGCTTCAGTAGCTTAGTGAGCAACTCAGTGAGACCCTGCCTCTAAATAAGAAATAAAAAGGGTGGGGATGTGGCCCAGAGGTAAAGCACCCTTGAGTTCAATCCCACTATCACCGAAACAAACAAAAACACCAAGAATACCCTACCTGCAGACCCAGTTCCTCCTCTTGTAGGAAGTGAAGCCTCCAGGGAGCCAGTCTACAATCAGTTGCTTTGGGCCTTTGGCAGCACACCCAGGCAGGAGTGCATGGTAGACTCAAACTGTTCATCTCATGGCCAGGAAGCATTAAATTGTTACCTATGAATAACTTTTCCC